TGCTGCAATTGGCGCACAGTAGCCAAGCAGTCAGCCGGGGCCCGTCACTTGCAGCGCCGCATGTTGCAAGTTATGATTTGAGTGGCAACGGCGCTTTTCCGACTTGAACGTGTTGCTCGTTGCTGTAATTTTAACGCGCTCGCATTTTAATTAAAAGCGAAAAACGCTCATTGCTGCCGGCTGCCGACCACCGGATTCCCGTAGTGGAGTGCCTTAAAGTAGCTGTTCGACTACTTTGGCAATTGGTTAGTGTGCAGGCGCTGCGACTGGCGACCTGCCAAGCATATCGAACGTCAAATGATGTGTGTCAACAGCAGATTATGCGGGAATGTATGAAAAAGTGGAAAAGCCATCGAAAACTTACATTTATATGCTTCGATCGGCAGTGTTGCAAAGTCATTGAGTGCTTTATTTATGAGAAAGTGCCAACAGCAGCGACAAAGGCAATACAAATATTATGTTGACTGCATTAAAAATTAAATGAGAAATCAGCAAAAATATACCTTTGATTTGTGCAATTGGGATCTCAATTCTTTACACCCAATGCGAGCTTCTAAAGAATAGTAACTGGACGAAGATTTGGCCAAAGTGGCACTAAAGTTATATATTCTCTCTCTCCCCTTCGGAATTTGTCTCCTTTGAAAACATTAAATATCAAGCTATTGCAATATATTTTTCGGAAAACTAACGGAGCTGACAATGAGCTAAAAAGTCAAGGAGTGCATGACCGCACTAGCTGCTCAAGCATCAAGCTACTTCCATATTAAACTTGTCTAAGCGCCTGGTCACAGCGGAATCGTCGGAAGCTGTGAAGCCGATGAACGCAATAGAAAGGGTACCCGTATCCAAATACCATTAGAATGGGAACAAAGAGGTATTCCCCTGTCTTCGTGCACTCAGGCGCTGGCTTTATGGGCCTCTCACAAAGTCAATAAGCATTAGTCAGCGACCGGCACAGAACGGAAGCCAAAAGGTCCATTGAATAACTAGTTCTTAGCAATATTTGCATGTACACAATGATTGGTGTCCTAATTGAACACTAACGCATTCCCACTCACGCAGTGAGGTAAAAGTTTTGAAGAAGGCCACTTGTCAAAGTTGCAGGGAGGAGGAAAAAGTTGAAAAACTTAGACACTTTTCACTTTACTAACCAGCTTTCGCCAGACTAAAGTCTTTGTTGCCTTTCTACGAACACGGTGAATCGGAGTAGATATTAGTCGGTTCAATAAATTTGTGGCTGACTCCAGTCGCTTTATAGATAAATGGTCTTTTTGATCCGCACTTATAAGTTCTGGACGTCAAAACGGATGCGTATGTCTAGCATTCCAAGTGGGATTTTTTGTGGTCTCACGAATATAAGCCGTTCTATCTAACCTAAGGAAACTTTAACAGATTTTATGTATCAAAGTTGAAGTTCATCTGAGTTACTACCTTTATTGAATTTCATACTGATGTGTGGCGGAGACTATGCTCCTGTTGGCAGCGGAGTCTTAAGTAGGTTTTATTGAAACCGAATATACTCCGAAATATGTCGTAGACATGAACCACCATAGATGGATTAGGAAAAGGGTAGAGAAGATCGAGAAGACCTGGGCTAAATGATAATTCAATCACAATTTCTGGCAGTGTAAGAAAAAGCCATAGAGTCTGTGAGAACGTTTGCTCACTGTCGTGGAGCGATATGCTATATTTTCTGAATCTACAGTGATACATCAGAAGGACCGAGGTCTGCTTCTACAGAACTCCTTAATAAACTACAGAGTCAGAGCGACTTATAACTTTAACATGTGAGCTTCGAATCATGCCTTCTTACGTTTCTAATTCCACGAAATATATGGCAATGGCCGACTGCAAGTGATCTAGAGTACGGACTAATTGAATGTTTAAAGCTTTTGTCAGCTTCCACTTTTGCAAGACTTCATAAATTTGTCCATTTTGCTTTTTATTACATAACAATTCATTAGCAATGCAATGATTTGTTGCTCAACGGAATTTTGATGTGGCATTCTAAGTGGCCGCCGAATTAATTAAATACAATAACAACAACATTGACGCCATCAACGAGCACAACAAGCCGACAGCAATCTACAAAACTATAACGCATTAAACAGCAATAAGCTGGACATAATCTATCTGTTCGATGGCTGTGCGAGTTTGAGTGTGTGTGTGAGTCGAGTTGTTTGCTATTTGCAACATTGCAGCGAAACGTTGCATTTATTGATATGAAAATTGCTATGAAAAGCGAACGAAACAATTTATGACGAGATAACGTTTTGCATTTTAAGTAGTTTTAATAGAGTTTCGCGCAAAAGTGAAAGAGTCCAATCGGCCGCTGGCTGGCCCGTTTGTTTGATGGCCTTTAAATGGTGTTGAAAAGCATTTAAGTGAGTTGTTAATCGATCGCCAATGTGAAATTGTTGTCGGGCATAAGTGTCATACATATTTTCATGCTATTTTTGTTTGTTTTTGTTTTTCTGTGCATTTTTGTGGCGTTGTTTTCGATCCACTTAATTGCAGGTTTTAACATACTTTCAACAAAGATATGTGGGAATGTTGGAACGTGGAGACATTTGAGTGCAATATTAAACTCATTTAGCATATCTATGCATTTATGATTGTGTACTTGTATGTATGTATGTATGTATGTATGTAAATCTATGAGTGCTTAAGCCAAGCTGAAGTTGACAAGTAGGTGCCTGCTTAGAACTGGGAGTTGAATTATTTGGACAGACACCACATAAAGTCCATGTTCTGCTTCTCTTGCCACATAGTTATTGATTGAGAGATCACAATATTTATATTTACTTTTTAATTAAAACACAGTCAGCTTTAACTTCAGTAATCGATTTAGCGTGTGATCACTATAAGATTTTTGGTGTTATTGTAGTGACAGAAAACATTCCTGAAGCAACTTAAGGACCGGTGCCGAGTTGCCTCATCCACGATGTCCAAATCGTGCCAAACGACTTTAACGCAAGGGTGATTATCTGTAGTACTAGATGTCAGATCGATTACGTTATGATAGACGATAGAAAAGTTTCCATTGTTTAGACGTGTGTACGCTCCGAGGTCCTAACAGCGACTCAGACCACTATCTTGTTGCACTCCTGCTTTCTGAGAGCACTCGTCATTTCAAGCTCCTTACGTACAGCTGCAACCGAAACTATTGGTTTTCGGAACATGTAAAAGAACAACTGGTACGATGAGGAATGCAGACCGCCTATCTCGCGACGCTACAATGGACTACTGCACGTGCGGGATGGGATAGATAGATTGAAGAGGGAAGCGAGACACATTTGCAGACCAAAGAAGAGAGAGGCCGCAGTGCGTATGAGATGTACGACGACATTKACATAGTTCAGCCAATTAAAAGACAGCAGCTCCGCTGGCTAGGTCATGTAGTCTGAGTGGACGAAAACACTCCAGCTCCGAAAGTATTCGACACAGTACCCGCCGAGGTAAGCAGAAAAAGAGGAAAACCTCCACTCCGTTGAAAAGACGAGTTAGGTGGGGGGAGGGACCTGGCTTCACTTGGAATCTCAAAAAGGCGCCACATTGCCAAAAGAAAAGAGAAGAAGAAGATATGCAAAAAGTAATTTTTTTGGAGTTCTTAAGTGAATATAACCCCTAAGTGCTGAAAACTTGCAGTCACATATCCAATCTCTCGACGTCACCCTTGCAATATCTGCTTTCGTAAGTAGAATGTCGAAGACTTCGAAGCACAGCTGATGCTACTGAATGCTGAAGTGAGGTTAGGAAAATGCGCTCGGTTTCAATCACGCTGGGAGTGCTTAATCTGTATACCAAATAGTTTATAAAGTATGGAAAATCGTAATTTCTTCAATACAAACTCATTTGTATATATTGTATGGTAGCGGTCAGTAAAGCATTGGTTTTAATTCCACTCAAGAAAATTTTGTGTAATTAACTAGCGGCCCAATTTGATATAAAACATAACTAGATCAATATTGTTGTTGTTGTAAGGCCACCGAGCATAATGCCATGGTTAAAAATATTTTTTTTTTTTTTTGTCTCTAAGGCTTCCGCTAACCAATTACGGTGCAATTTGTAGCGGACAACCCAATACATAAATAACATTAAACACTTTTCCGACCGCCTGCAAAGAGGCCGACTGACGACTTCCGAAAAAATCAGAGCGAAATAGAGAAATCAAGAGTGCATTGGCGCGAAGATTAATGAACTTGTAAATAAGCCACTAAAAAGTGCATATAAAAAATCTAATTGCTTACATACATACAAACACATATAGAAAAACACACACATTGGTAACAACATGGTAATTAGGGGCGTTAGAGCAGTGCTGTGCGCGCGCAGCCATAATTATGGATGCCTAACAAAGCGGTGACGGGTACACGAGTTACAATTTTTTATGCTCCATTTTCAACATTTTCCACATTTATAGTTTTATTATTCAGTTTCTTTCTTTATTTTTTGGAGCTGTTGCTCATTTTGTTATTGTTGTTATTATTATTATTCACCGCTTGGAGGGAAATATTGTTGGATTTGCGCTTGATTATAAACTTGAAATTATCATTATTTTTTTAGTTAAATATTATATAATATATATGTTTTTATTTCTATCCGGCATTCCGGAAATTTGAGAAAAATTTTCGGAATTACAGAAAAAAAATATTAATTCATCTATTCATTTTAACGCATCATTTGCAACCCTGCTTTAACAAATTTATTTTAAATTATTTTATTTTTAATTTTCGTCGCACTTCAGTCCTTCTAGCGCTGAAGTGGGAAACCACTTAAAAGGTTAAGAGAACATAACCTCTATTAGTGTCGGGAAAGTGACAATAAAAAATTACCCTAAAATGCCATTATTTTATTTATAAAAAACTCAAACTATTTTTTAGTTATAACATATATAATTTTTTTTTATTTCAACATACACATTGACATACAATATTATAAGGAACCTGCTCTCTAAGCGCTCAACAAATGTTTACTAAATATTACAATACAAAGTAGAGTATAATTGCTTACCACTTTATTTAAATTATTTCTAATATTATCTCTTATTATTGTGTAAATACATAGCGTTGTTTGTGTTCCTAAAACTTCATATTTGGTTATTTATTGTTCATATTCTACGCTCGCTACAAAAATGTTTGGCGTTTTTTTCAAATACTTGTATTTTACTTTGATTTCGGTTCTGCATTTTTGCATTACTAATACAAAATAAATTCTATAGGTTGCTTATATTTGTTGTTTTACGACATTATTATTGTATTTGTTTTCTGTTTCTTTCTTTTGCTCTGTGGGGAGTTCGAAAAAACATTTTAAGAGGTTTTTAGTTGTTTTTGTAGGGGTTTGCTCGCTTTTGAACTGCTTATGCATTACTAGCATCTTACGTATTTGTATATATGTGTATATATAGTTATATAACGTATAAACATTCCCTAATAAATTTATGTGTACACGTTTGAAAGCTTTTGAATATCGGCGTTTCGACAAACTATAAATCTCCTCTCTTCGACATTAACTATAGTTTGCTCTTGTTTTTGCAATGCATTTGTAAATGCTGGTTTGAGTTTTACACACACACGCGCATGGAATTTAAATGTGACTGCCGACTTTCGTGACGGCCGTGTGTATGGCCTGTGCCACATAGTCGACGTTGTTCTCATTGAGGCCGCACATGTTGATGCGTCCCGACTTCAGCAAATACACATGGAAATCATCGATGAGCACGCGCACTTGTTTCTCTGTGACAAATTCGAAAATTTCATTTGATTAAGTTTAAAATTACAGTTGTAGAACTCTAATTAACGCACCATTCAAGCCAGTGTATGAGAACATGCCGATTTGCGAGACAATGTGATCCCAGGTGCCGGGTGTTTGCAGCTCGGTAAGACGGTCGAAGAGCGCCTTGCGCATTTTGATGATGCGACCAGACATCGTTTGAATGCACTCCATCCTGTCGAAATTATTAAAATTTGCAAATTAGTGTTTTAAAAATGTTCAATATTTAGTGAGGTTATGAATATTATATATAAAAAAAATATAAATTTTCAGGAAAAAACAAAAAAGACATTATGTCGAGTTTATAATTGCCTATTATATGGCTTTGTTTCACAATCAGAATAAAGCCGAAATGATCAATAACTTTCAATAATAACGGTATATTTGAAAAAAAATATCACATTAAAATGAAAAATTAATTTAGCAATTGTAACAGTTAAATACGTACATTCAGCATTTCAAACTACGCAATTTCGAACATGATTTCGAATTTCGAAAACAACTCACCATTCCTTACGCAGCTCTGGATTATTCAATACTGTGGCAACAATGCGACTACCAAACGCTGGTGGATTCGAGTACATGCCACGCACCAACCAAGTAAACTGAGATGCAACAGCTTCCGACGAAGCAGCGTTACGTTGCACCACCGTCAAATTACCGACACGCTCACCTAAAATGTAATTTATACATAGCACAATTAAAAACAGTGAAATATGTCTAATATCGAGCGGCTTTCACTCACAGTAAAGGCCAAAGTTTTTCGCAAACGATTGTGCGACAAACAACTCGAAGCCACGCTCCACAAAGTAGCGTACAGCCCAGGCATCCTTCTCTGGATCGCCACTGGCGAAACCTTGATATGCCGAATCCAGGAAGGGGAAAAGTTTCTTGCGCTCCATCAAGTCAGCGATTTGCTTCCATTGCTCTTGTGTGGGATCACAGCCGGTGGGATTGTGTGCGCAAGCGTGCAAGATGATAACAGCACCCTCGGGCGCGGCATCCAAATCGGCCAAGAGACCCTCAAAATCGATGGTGCGCTTCTCCTGATCCCAATAGCGGTACGAACGCAGCGTTTCGAAGCCAGCATCCGCAAACACTTTGTGGTGGTTCTCCCATGTGGGATTTGAGTAGTAGGCAACACGACGATCGAGTATGACGCGCAAAAATTGTGCGCCTATACGTAACGCACCGGTGCCGGAGAGCGTTTGAATGCCGAACGCCTGAAAGAGTGCAACAACAATTACATTAATAGTTTTAGCATTTTATGAAATTTAATTAATGTTTACTTACGCGCTTGTCTGCGATAGCGCTCGAGCTATCGCCCAACAGCAAGCCTGTGGCGGCCTTTGTAAATGCATCATTGCCTTTAATTGAAGTAAAACGATGTAAATTAGTCAATGCAGTGTGTGGTTTTTTGTTTGTATAAAAATTTAGTTTTTTCTGATTTCATTCATTCCATTTTATTTATTCAAAAAGCAATCGAAAGTCATTACTTTATAGTAATATAGAACTGTGAAAATTTAATACACGTATATGTGTATGTATGTACGTGTGTGCGTTTATAGAGTTTTTTACACTCACCCAACACTGGTAGATACTCGTGATTGATTGTCTCATCGCTGGTAATTTTAATTTCGGTTTTACGCACCACCGGCAGCACCCAGGGCTTGCCCTCATTAGTGCGGTAGGCTGCAAGTAGAGAAATTAAAAAATCATTAATTAATCTATGTTAATTATATTACAATGGTTTTCATATTTTTAAATTACAGTTACAAAAACTGCGTCAATTCAATTAAAGATGAGCGACGCAAAGCAATAATTTATTACACTAATAGGTGAATGAATGTATTAATGAGTTTTCCTTTTTATGCTTCTAGCTTTTTATTGTTAATGCATTTATTACCATTTATCATAACAAGGGAAAATTTAATTTAAATTTACATACTTTTTTATACATAATACTTTTTATACGAATTTTTTCAATGTATCAATATTTTTATTAACTTTGACATATAAATTCTCCAAAAAAAAAAAATATTAAAATATATATGTTTAAGCTCAGCTTTACGTCTTTAGAATATTATTTTCTAAATAAACCATATATAATCCACTCTTAATCTATAAAATGCATTTTTTACTGCACCAAACAAAAAATAAATTTATTCTTACATAATAATTCTAAAACGTAGCAAAGGCAATATCTCAATGGCAATTTGAAACGCCGCTTAAAGATGAATGACATTGAAAATATATCACATATGCACTTACAATAGCAATTATTCAATTCATTCATAAAAAGAAATGCACAGCTTTAAGCTTGACACGTGATAGCCTTATTTCTGAACGATTTTTGCCGCTTTATTTATTTGTTATTAGCCGCATTAACAGGTGGCTGACATTAATGAGTTGGATTGTTTGCACGGCTGGCCGAGTGGCAATTCTAACTGTGATTACATATGTATGTGAGTATAATTGCATTTGTGGGAGTTTACATGAAAGCAGTTTACAGCAAAGCATCTTAGTCCTCTAAAGGGGACAATTAATGAAAAAAAGGAGAGGAAAAAATAATGTATTAACCTAAATAGTAGAATAAATTAGTAATAAATAATTTTTCAAAGTCTCCATGGGAGAACAATTTTTTTGGTAAACGAGGTATAAGGAAACTTATTTCAGCATGGTAACACAATTATTGTTAACTAAAACCATACTGCTAATCTTGTCAGATTACTTAAATTGCTACTTCCAGCAGTTTGTGTTTGTTGGCTTCAGGTAGAAAATAACTACAATGTGCGAACGATCTTATCAGAGATATGCCGAAAAATATAGAAAATTATGACCTTCAATAAAATTAACCACTGCAATATATTAACAAATATACATACATATGTATGTATGCAATATAATTGGTTGTATTTTTTCATATTTGGGGACCATATACATGTACATTCATACATATAGTTTGTCCCATAGGGTTGGATGTGTGTATGTACCTGTCTCTTATACACATCTAGATGTGTATAAGAGACAGGTATGTATGCAATATAATTGGTTGTATTTTTTCATATTTGGGGACCATATACATGTACATTCATACATATAGTTTGTCCCATAGGGTTGGATGTGTGTATGTACAGAGCAAATCATTGTTGACAGTGCTGATATTATTGCTAGATACGTGGGTACACCCATACATACATGCATATATCACATATAATATGTATTTTGAATGATGCTAACAGAATTATTTGCCTGGTTGATTTCGCATTTTTGCTGATTCTCAATTTAGCTCATAATTGCGTAACTAGCAATTCACATATACTCCCTCTCTTATCAACAAGAAACAAGAAAACAAAAGCAAAAAGAAGAACATTTGATTACCCAGGGGTCAAATATAAAAATATAAAACTAAACGCCATAATAACAAATTTTTATAACGAAAGTGATTTAGAATAAATTAATATACTCTAACTGACGTCATAGGCACTAGAGCGTCTTATAAGCGGACCTTGACATTGCAATTTTGTTGCCGTATATTTCTTAGTTGCAAACTTTTCAAATAAAACATAAATATATGTACATACATATGTATAACGGATTGATCGATATTTTTATACCAAAATATTATTTACAAACGGCTTTTGTCATTCCACATTCATTTTAAAACATTTTTGTTTAAAATATAAACATTAAAAGGAATATTTTCCTCTAAAATCACAAGTTTAGCCTCAACGTTATAGATTTATGTTTTCAGTTTTTTTTTTTTTGTTATTCAGTTGTATTTTAATAAACATTAGAGAGCTTTTACTTAGTATTTCGCACTTTTATTGTGTGATTCGCCTGCGTTAATTTTCGTAGAGCATATTTACTGTTAAAAACTGTACCACCTGCAACGGATTTTGAAATTATGAAAACATGTACATACATACAAACATATGTATATACAAACATTGTATGCAAAATATGTACACATACTTCCCGCAATGAGATCGGCTTTTCTAGGCGATATATCCTTAGCACACGCCCTCATCAAGGCGAAAACCTCAATCGCGGCACCTTTCTCGACTTTACTGAAGACAGATTGCTGCATTTTTTTGTATATTTTTCGTTGTTTTCAAACTGAGCACATCAACTAGAAAATTCTAACTGCACTGCAGTACGGCTTTAACTACAGTTAACAAATGAGCTCAAGTGCAGAGGTAGGCAACCAATTAAAAGTAAATATTATCAAATATCCCATAAAATAAGTCATTAACGGTCGAGTACAAAGTGCTCATCTTTACAATATACGAGTACAGTGTTGCTCAAAGCAAAACATTAACTAACAGCAGTCCCAACTTGAAAAAAATGAGTTTTTAGCACAACTGCACTTTATAGAAGATTTATACTAATTAAGGTTTAGTTGAAATATACTATTCTATTCGTTTTTATGCAGATCGACCTTCTACAATGGTTTATAATAGCAGCGCAGTATAATGAACCTTAACGAGGAAAATTACTGTTAAAATAACTCAATTCGAATTGTCCAAGACAAATGATTCCTACGCCGAAAATTTTTTTATATTCAAAACAAAAAAATTTATAAGAAATTTACAAATTTTACGAAAAAAAGGAATTTATAAAAAATTATTGATGTTAGAAAAAAGTACATAGTCACCTAAACAAACTAACAAGTGCCCTAAAAGGCCAGACAGAGAAACATGCTGACCGAAAAATCATAGAATTTGTTAGAAGGCATCCGCGTTACAGCTCTCATATGGAAAGAGTTTAATCATAACCTGAGTGCAGGAACAAACAGAAAACATTTGTTTAATTCCAACTTAAAAGCCAGAAATCAATTCCAATACTAGAAACCAATCTAAAATATGCGGGAAGACAATATAGTTCAATTAAAAAAAAAATTTTATGATATTTGCAGAGGTTTAATGGACACCATCCTACGAATATGTACCGCGTGAACCCGGAATAAAGCCTATTCGTTTAAATATGTATTGAGTTACTTTTCGAAAGAAAGTAAAGAATATTATGTAATTTATATATGCAGGTTTTCGACCATATTTTAGAATCCGAAAACAAATTAAATTAAACTGTGGAAACTATTATTTTTAATCATTTCAAAACAAGCAATGCTACTATTGTGAACATAACTGTACACACAATAATTTTTACAACACACGTACATAAGTAGTTATTGCTCGTTGCCGGTTATAGTGCAGTAACAGTACTAATAATTAATAGAATTGCGCAGCTAAGTGGAGGCAAACGATACTAGAATATTTTATTCATATTACCACTTTGAATAAATAAAAAACAATATATATAATATAAAATGTATACTACTCAAAGACAGGAAGAGCATTTAGTAATAGTTATTTATAGCAAATAATGCAGAAAATGGATCGTGGAATATCGTAAAAAATAATAATACAAAGTTGCATTTAAAAATTATACATTTTCAAGTCGGCAGATCGCCAGATCAATTTTTATTTTGAATATTTGTATGCATATAAGAACTACAAATTTATTTACATGCAACAAAGCCAATTACAAATGGGCAATGTCGCTGTTGCACCAGTTTATATCCGCGCAAGCAGCGTCAACAAGCGAAAAAACTTCAAATAACACCTACCTCAAGAATACGTTAATTTAAATAAAGCACCAGATGTTTGCCTCAACAGAAAGTAAAAGTTATTTGACTGCGGTTATATATGTATATGTATATATTACATATAATATAATAAAAATAGTGACCAGGTGGGAAGGGAATGTCCACATTAAACTCAATAAATTATTTAATATCTGTATGTATTTATTTTTTCATTTAAGTGAGTTTGAAATCGAAATTAGAATTTAAATTTATTTTCTGCTTATGAAATGAAATGCCCTCAAGTTTTTGCATTTCAGCTCTCATTATACTTCTACCGTAAATATTCTTATGCAAGATCAATGCCAAAAAGTACTAATGAAAGTATTTACTTGCACCTACAAATGAGTTTAAATATTTACATATATATTATTTCTACTTAAGTGTGGCTACGTGCACATCTTTGCTTATAGATTCAAAAATAGAAAGAAATATTCTGACGACAAAGAGGATGTGACATTTTTACATATGTATGTATATAATATAATCATGCATAGCAGGACCGATAAAAAGTTGTTAAATTTTATACATATATACCCATACACAGCACACACAAGTACACAAACAAATATATGATTTGTCATAACTTATTCTAATAAAGTGGACTGTAGAAAAATTTTAAACATTTTTTATTTATGAATAAAATTTAAAGTACATTGGCTCAACTTTGTAGTTAAGAAATAAAAGCCGCTCAGTTCATTCTGAATAAATTGAACAATATGCGGCAACATATACTCGTATATTCAGAACTTGTAATCAAATTTTGGTAATTAGCCAGCAAGAAACAGGTTTTAATGTAACTTTCTTAGAATTTCTGCTTATGCAATACTCTCACGCTGTTAGGTTTAAACAAAAATCGCTGGCTTCTATAATTGCATTTTGTATGTTAATTTAAAACACGTTTTTATAAATTTATCCCATGTTATTATCTCATTCATAGAATCGATGAGAATACAACTATAATTTAATTAATACAGCCGACAGATAATTGTTTGTTTTGACTATTGAAGAAAGCAATGCTAGCCCCTTTCAAAGCCGGTAATCAAACAAATTCAATCAAATATAGACATATAAGCATACATGGCTACATAAACGCATGTAACAACAAATAACAAAATTTAAAAACTAATTTGCACACGCAAAGTGCAAAGGATATTCTGCTAACAAACAGCGAAATGTTTGGCAAATATTGCCTTGTGGGTATACAGTACATTTGACCTTTGATGTGACCTTTTGGCGTTTCCATAAAGAAATAGGTAAAATGAAAGCTCCAAAAACTAGGCTTTATTGACAAAAAAAAAGTCGCGTAAGCAAATGTGTGATTTTGTAGAGTTTATTCATTAAATACAGCACTACACAACTTCACTACTTCGCCAATAAAAAATACCTGATATATGTAGGTGTAAGTTGGATAAATTGCCGAGTTGGAACAATTGTTGCTTCGAGTGCATTCACCTTTTTACGATTTCTTTTACTACTGCATTACCACATTCCCTGTCGCAACTTACCTCCCACTCCGAGGTTAGCCTTTTTAGGTTCGGTATCCTCCAAGAATGCTCGATTTAGGGCGAACACCTCTATGGCTGGTCCCTTTTGAACAGCTTCGAACACAGAATTGGACATATTTCTTTCAGTTAGGTAATATGTTCTGAATACGTTTAATACAAAATCAACCGCGCGGCAGAAATGCTCGAGCAAACTGAAAATATTGTAAAGAACAACGCTGCGTGAGAGTTGATGCCTCTCGCTTTGAAAGTCTTCGTTAGATGACACAATGCGCGCACGAACTTAATTAAAGATTAAGAAATCACTTCGAGAACACAGTGAAATTGACGACAATCCGCCACTTCCTTGATAGTGTAAATAAAAAAGTAAATTACGATAGGAAGATAATAAATAAATACGGATTTAAATCTACGTTAAGACTGCAATTCCAGGTAGTGTGGAATATTTAAAAACTTCTTAAATACAAACAAAAAAATACACAAAAAAAATGTCAAATAAATCCAAAATCAGCTGTTTTGCGAATATTACGAATGAAAACAGCGAAACTGGGAATTTCCATAATGAGAACAGATTTTCAACACATGCTTAACACTGTAACAGCCAATTTTTAGCCCAACTTACAATTGCTTTAATCGACATCTTAATTTTGGATTTATATCGAAAAAATTATTATAAGTTTTTTTGAAGATGAAAACCATTGTGATATTTTAATATACACAAAAATTTACTACTTTTTTTTCGTTGAGTACATGAGGGCTTCAAAACTTTTTATATGTAAGTGATTGTGTTTCGTTAAAAATTATCAGAAAATTGCTAGATAGAAAATAAAGCAATATAGCTGAACACTGCTTGACTGCTGAAAGCAACCTTGCGTTATTTAGGTTTGTTGACATTTTACAAACAAAGCGAAAATTAAGAAATACAAAGAAATAGCTTATTTTTCTTACGCCAAGGAAAAATTAATCCAAGAATAGTTTTACAAGTTACAGATTTATTGCTAAAGAGGAAATCGATTTTGAGAAGAAATGGGAGCCGTTCTAGGGCTATGCTCCGCAGCTCAAGTGAGTATAGTCGCTATGGAAAAAAAATATGTAAATTCATATTTAAAGAATTACGTTCTTTCTTCGGGTGTTAAAAAAAAAACACAAATCAATATTTTATGTGTCAAATTTGATATGTGACTATAAATATGTGTGTACAACATTTCTAATAAGTTAATTGTAAAAATAAATTTATCTTAAAGACGAATTTACATATTCCCATAATTACTCATCACCAACTATTCTGAGAAATATACATTTTGATTTTCCCATATGGATATTTTTCTTCTATTTTTAGTGCGCATTATGCTGCACTGGTACAGCTGCCAGTTGCTGCTGTAGTGCTTGCCCCTCTTGCAAGAACTCGACTTCATCCCGTTTTATGTATGCCTTCATGCTACTGGTGGGCACAGTTTTGGGTGCTATTGCATTATCGCCGGGTCTTCAAGATACGCTTAAAAAGTTACCATTCTGTATAAATTCAACCTCCACAATAAGCTCTAAGGCACTATCTTTTTCTGGAAATCTACAAGTAGACTGTGAATATGCACTCGGTTACATGGCTGTTTATCGCCTTTGCTTTGGACTCGCATGTTTCTTCATGTTGATGGCACTAATCATGTTGGGCGTAAAGAGTTCACGTGATCCACGCTCGCATATACAAAATGAATTTTGGGGATTAAAATTTCTAATTTGCTTTGGAGCTGCTATCGGTGCTATTTTCATACCAGATGGCTCTTTTGGTCCGGCAATGATGTGGGTAGGATTAATAGGCGGTCTAGCCTTCATTTTGGTACAATTGGTGATAATTGTGGATTTTGCCCACTCTATTGCGGAGAATTGGATTGGTTGGTAGCACTTAAATTATAAGAACAATTATTTATCTGATAATGTCTTTTTCTTCAGAAAATGCGGAAAATAATAAAGGCTACTTTTATGCTTTAGTCGGAGTTACACTAGTAAGTTATGCCTTATCCGTAGTAGGCATTTCTTTGCTGTATATTTACTTCACGCAGGTAAGGTATAAGTTTTGTTTTGTTCTACTTAAAATATTTTTTCACGTTACTTCACATTCTCAGTCCAGCGGTTGCGGTCTCAACAAATTCTTCATTTCGTTCAATCTTATACTTTGTCTTATTGTGAGCATCATATCGGTTTTGCCAGCTGTTCAGGATCGTTTGCCGCACTCAGGTCTATTGCAAAGCTCTTTAGTCACAATCTACACCATTTACTTGACCTGGTCTGCTGTTGCCAATAACCCAGGTTAGGCTGAGAAAAAACCACTTAATAAATTTGCGCTTTATTAACTTGTGTGTCTTTCAGAGAAAGAATGCAATCCCGGCTTGTATGGTGTTATCAGTGGTGTTACATCTGGAAATACCACCACTGCACCACCAACACCCAACTCCAAAGTAACATTTGACACAACAAATATAATTGGTCTGGTAGTTTGGTTGTTCTGCATTCTCTACAATTGTATTAGTTCGGCTGTGGAGGTTTCCAAAATCAATAATGACGGCGAAACACGTGGTAAGCGGTTTCATTTATGATACAACTGAAGAAATTCGCTCCCGCAATTAACCATTATCAACTATGCCCATAAAATGCATTTCCAATTTATTCTAAACATTTGAAACACATTCCATTTTCAAACCGTTTACACTTAAGAATAAGCACCATTGAATTTACGCTTATTTCGCATACTCACAGTACTGTATCACCGCCGCATTTCGACTTTCCACACTGTAAAAACACAATTAAGACTTTTTAATGCAATTTGCTAACACTCTTATCTTTTTCATTTTATTTCATTATGATTTTCAACTCTCGGTCATCTTTAATGTATATGCGAACTAACATGCAACCATGCGAAATGCAACGGTGCAAAAATTTGTGCTACGGATTTGGTTAATTTGGTTCATTTAATATTTTTCATATTTTTGTATGTAATTTTTACTGTCGCGACTGTAAATTGTTGTACAAATGCACTAACAAAGTCTTAACAGAAGCTCTCTCAGATTCAGAAGCCGGCAATGGTGATGGCAAGAACGGAACCGATAATGAAAATGAGGGCGTTACTTATTCCTGGTCCATGTTCCATATTGTGTTCGTTTGCGCTTCCCTCTATGTCATGATGACACTCACCAATTGGTACAAGTAAGTATTCGTGTTTGTGTGTGCACTGTTTGTAATTGTGACATGGCTTCCATTGATTTTCTAGACCCAATTCGGACATTGAGCTCTTCAACGCCAATGCTGCTTCGATGTGGATTAAAATAATATCCAGTTGGCTTGGAGTTTTCATATACGGATGGAGTCTGGTGGCACCTATAATACTAACTAATCGTGACTTTAGCTAAAGGGTTTGACGGCATACAATTAATTTCCACAAACTTAATAGAACAAAAAGGTTCAGTACGAACTCGACGCTGTCAAGTTTAAATTACTATGATTAGTCAAACAATCATAAGTTGAAGTCTTTACTATCATTACTTGTCTGTGGCTACATAAATATTTGAAATATGTCTTTTAATGTGATGATACTCCTTATCAAAGTATATTAAACTCTATAAACAGACATTCGTACACATATGCAAGCGAATGCTCTTAACCAATATATTATATATTCAAAAAAATACAAGTGTACTGTATACATACCTTATAACTTATTATATACATAATCAAAAGGAAGTAGTCTCAAAGCGTGAACGATAAATATTAAAATTTCGGTGAACGCCAAATTAAAAAAGCATTTCTTTCTCTTAAATAGTAGTTAACTTTTATTTACATATTAACAAAGGCTATGTTTCTTTGGCGGCTTTTGTCGCTTCTGCCGTGCTTGGCACATTTAAAGTGCTTCTAAGACGCTGCAATACAGAGTCCTTCCCAAGTATATCCATCATTTCGGCAACACCTGGACCTTCCTGTAATTTTCGGGTTTCGGTTTTTGTGTTTTGTAAATTTTTTAGTGCGGAAAACAAATATTTACCTTCAAACCGCTTAAAGCTGAACGGAGTGTCTTCATGAAAACAGCAAATTTGAGATGATTTACCTCAGCAAATTCCTTTAATTTTTGGTTAAGATTATCCTTTGTGAATTCCACACCCACTAAACTATCTATCAGCGACTGCATTTGATCTGATGAAACACACAAACATGACTTAGAAAATAAATATATTCAAAAATAATATTAATGATGCCTACCATTCGTTATGTGCTTCAGTTTGAAGTCTGCAGGGCGGACCCAAAGGAAACTTAGCTTTGACGCTGTCAAGTCCTGTATGAATGTCAAACGCATAGCGGCCCATTTTAGGACATTTTCAATGTGTTGATCATCCAAATCGAGATTTCGTCTACAAAAAACAAAAAACTATAAAATTGACTTTCGGCCGCTTTTACGCACATTCAAATAACGTACTCATTGGGATAAGCGTGCCGCACCAACACCTGCACGCGTTGCACCAAGTGCTCGGTACTAGTTTTTGTTTGCAGCATTTTGACTATGTACAAACGGTTGAAGTCGTTTAACAGATCAGGATTTAAACGGCTGGGGTGCGAATTGACGCGCTTAATGTCAAACTTTTCTGCTAATTCATCCATCGAATAAATTAGTTGCTTTTGTCCTGGTGTATGCTCGAATCCACCGCCAGCACTGACCACATAGTTCACGAGCGCCTCGGAGAAATAACCTTTTTCACGGAAATGTCTAATTCCAATATCACCTTGGCGTTTACTCAACTTAGTGCCGTCGGAGTTGACCAAAAGCGGAAGATGGCCGTACAGTGGTGGCTGCCAGCCGAATGCTCTGTAATCGAGAAAAGTACGTTCTATCGAAACTTTTGTTCTGAATGCATCACACTCACTTATAGAGCAATAAATGCTTTGTGGTCGATATTTGCCACTCAACTCCGCGAAATACATGTGTTATGCCCATCAAATGGTCGTCCACTACGTTCGCAAAGTGATATGTTGGAAAGTTATCGGTTTTTATAATAACTGGATCACCTTCGCTTTCACTAACGTTATGCGAGACTGGACCGTAAATTAAGTCTTGCAATGGTTCCTCGTGTGACGTTAGTTTAAAACGTATGCAATATGGAGTGTTTTTGGCCAATAAAACGGCTACTTGTTGGGGTGTTAAGTAGCGACATTTATTATCATATCGTGGTATTTGACGTGTACGCAGTGCTTCCTTACGTAACAGATCCAAACGTCGTTCGGTGCAAAAGCAGCGGTAAGCCGTATCATTTTCTAGCAATGCCTGTACAGCGTCGCTGTAAGAAATTATCTAACAATTAGAAGTGTAAGAAAAGGAAACTACCGACTCACTGATAATATGTCATGCGTTGACTTTGCACATATGGACCGCGTTCTCCACCAAATCCCGGTCCTTCGTCGATCTGCAAGCCGGCCCATAATAAATCTTCAACCAAACTTTCAGTAGCACCTGGCACCAGTCTCGTTTGATCTGTATCTTCTATTCGTAACATGAATTTTCCGTTTTTATTACGTGCATATAAATAATTGTACAATGCTGTGCGAAGACCTCCCAAGTGCAGGTGACCTTGGTGAGCATTTAAGTTTTAATATATTTTTATTTTACACAAGTATGTCGGAATTCTTAGCCACTAACCTGTTGGACTAGGCGCGAAACGCACACGGACTTCGTTATGTGTCCATCGCTTTGTACTTCGGAGGCTGTATTGTGTTAAAAGCGTTACTAATCCGCGTTGTGAATACATTTATTGCGAATATTTCATTCAAAACAATTAAAATTTGTATATATTTTTTTAAATGCCGGCGATAACTGAGAGGAATTTACGCACGTCAGCTGTTCCGACATTAAAATTGTAAATAAGTTCACAATATATTCGCAGAAGTCAAGAAAATAATTATTCGCAAATAAAAAGGAGAAAAAGAACTCTATTGGGAATTTACTTCATTAGGTTACAATAGTCGGGCCTGTTAGAGGAAGCGTCAGTTTTGTTTTTGTCGGTTCGAAGGAAGGAAGTGAGTAAAAGTTTAGATTGATCATATATTAGTTTAAAAAGATCACATATTGTACAAATAACCATTGGTAAGTACTATTTTGTGGCATGAGTCACATTAGTTAGATTGTAGAGTTTAGCCAATTAAATGGAATCATTTTCTGATGCCGTCTTAGCTCAACCTGGTATATAGCAGAAGTTTTGTTATCCACAACTAACGGATTAACTGGATTTTATATAAAAACGAAGGTTTAACAAATTCAGAATATTATTTCTAACCTCACTTTAAAAGTAATAATTAAATAATTTTAATTTCGTTACTTTTTTATTACATCAAATCAAAACAATCTGTGGGTTTTCTGCTATAGAAAGCTCGTGTTTATTATGCCATATATAAAAGTAATATTGCAAATAAATATTAAATGATGCAAAGTAGGTATATATATGTATGTATTATCGACTTTCTAAAACTACACCACGCGAACACCCATAACTTATTTCATTTATTTAATGTTGCAGTTCGCTAATTTGCTGGTCAGTTTCTCTCCGTTGGGTGTAAGTAAAAAGTTCTCTTTCCAAACGGCAACACCCTCGGCATTTGTTTTTAAATCCACAGATAATTTCTCCCAAACCTTTAAATACATAAAGTAACGCAAAACTTAATTTGCCAATATCAAATAAAATTCGTACCTTCTTTTTTGGGTTTAATTGTTCATCAGGGGTACCACTGTAACCTTCGAAAGCCAAACGACTACCAGGTGTGGCACTAGCCGGCACAATGATGGGTTCTACTACACTGTGATCAGCGCTATATAAATTATATAGATTGGAGTCACATTTTTAAATCGATATATTAATTTACATACTTCGATGTGCAGAGCACCATGCCCTCGGATAATATACCGCGCATCTTAGATGGCTTGAGATTGCACAGCACAGCTACTAATCGTTGATCTAATTCTTCGATTGTTACAAATTTCACCAACCCACTTATAATGGTACGTGGTTGTTCCTCGCCTAAATCGATTTTTAATACGTACAAAGTATCTGCGTCTGGATGTCGAGACACTTCGACGACTTTTCCAACACGAATATCCAAGCGGTGTGGTCCATCCTCCTCAACGACTGCTGCGTTATTCGCATTATTTCCACCTTTCGTTTTACCTGGTGGTGGATAGGCAGCTGCACTAAGCTTTCTACAATGAAATAAATTTAATTTCAGAATACAATTAATTACGTAAGCTATCCAGTACTTACTGTAGTTCCGGGCTTTCGAAAGTTTTTCTTATCGGTTCCAAAAGTTTATTAATGTACTTTTCAACGGCAGCTTTCAAATCTCCGGGGTGCAGCTCATTATCGGCAAAACTTTTCTCTAAGTCAGCATAGTTAAGGAATGTTACATCACCACCAAATTCCGCAGGACGATTTATCGAAAAACCTGTTTAGTATATTTTAAATCTCTTATTATAAAAGATATATCGGCTTTTGTATGAAATACGTAGTGGAATACATATATAAATGGACTGAATGCTATCAGCGAACTAAATTAATTTTTATACACACCTTCACCTTCCTTAAAAAGCGAAAATAACACATGCTTCACGAATGACAAAAGACCATTGTCCGTAATATTTCCGGGCTCACAAAAAGCTTTCTTTAACTTCTTTTTAACATTGGCGGGCGAATCCAACAAGTCAATTTTTGAATCCTCTTCGGATGAGGACATTTTGCCGCCGGCTAAACCGGGAACTATAATTGGCACACAATTTTCACTTTTAGTTCTTGAATCAACAAATATCATATGTAGACCTACCCATTGGATTCATGAAATGTATGCGTTTTTCATAACCTAATTGTGGCAGGTATTTTTCAGAGAATGTAAATATCTTGCGCTGATCAACGCCGCCGAATTGCGCGTCCACTTTTAGATACTCTTCATCTAAAGCTTGCAGTCCAGGATAAAGCAAACCCGAAAGCAACGGGTATTCTATTTGTTTCACCACTTCGGCGCCAGCTTTTCTCGCATCGTGCTGTGTTACAACCGAACTTAATTTATATACGTCCAGAGTATATTCTCTCGACAGCTGATAATCGGTACCTTTAACGAACTTTAATTTGTCTAATGGCACACCAATGGAGCTCAGCATTGCCTTTATGACTGCTTCATAATATTGTGTTCGTAATTCGAGTAGTGCCCATGGGGCTTTCATATTATCTAGATAGGCGTGCAAGTCAGCAAAGAGTATAGTGACCTAAAAATCATACCGAGTTAGTGATTGAAAAATGTTTGTTTTAGAAGAATTTCCTTACCTCACAGCCGGCCTTGAGAAAATCGGCAATTTTTGACATAGGCACAAAATAAGCTACATGTGGCTTGCCTGTGGTGGCAGTGCCCCAGTAAATTTTCAAATCACGTTCCTTGAGTATTGCATTAAGTTTATCTTCACCCAGGGTCTCCTGTAAGTTGCGGGTGATCAACTGTTTCTTTTCCTCTGGAGTTAGTTCGACCATTTTGAAGTGACTTTCGAGTTAATATTTTTGTCTATGAGTCAAAGTGTTTGCCACTTTTAAGTGGAGAATTTCGTGAAAGAAATAGCGATTGCAATGCAGCAACGTGCAAAATAAACGTCACCATATTATGACAGACACTCAGCTGAGCTTCACCTGAGCAGAGCTGCCAAGATTCCTAACTACTTACGATTTACTTTACCCAAACTGTTAGTTTCGCAAAGTATTTATTTTAACTAGTCACTAGGTTGGCCTTTTCGCTAGCTTAAAATTCATAATAAAATAATAAGCCCTTCAGAACAGAACATTAGTGTGGTTGTAATTTTTCAGATTCTCTTTGTGCTAATCAGCAACAGCCTTGACAATTGTGAATGGTGACGTTTCCAATTTCACCATTTGGATGTAAACAAAAAACATCTGATTGGTCGCGAAATTTCACATTCTTATTGGTATTCCGTTTATTTACGAAATACTTAACTGTAAACAAAACACGTGCATATTATCGCTGTGACTGCATTACATTCGTTTCATTTGTTTTTATTTAGTACGCGAGTGAAAATATCGTTCATATAAAATAGACGTTAAAATATATTGAATAAAGATGCCCGTAATAGACCCAAATTCGTTGGTAAATCTCCAAAAAGACATTGAGCGTGTGCGTAATATCTGCATTTTAGCACATGTCGATCACGGAAAGACCACACTAGCTGACTCACTTGTTGCTAGCAATGGCATAATTTCTCAACGTATGGCAGGAAAACTACGTTACCTGGACACACGTCAAGATGAGCAGGAACGTGGCATAACCATGAAGAGCAGCAGCATATCGTTGTATTATCGTGGCAATGCTAAAAATGGTAGCGAACAAGATTATCTGGTTAATCTGATCGATTCTCCTGGACATGTTGACTTCTCCAGTGAAGTCTCCACAGCTGTACGTTTGTGCGATGGCGCAATCGTTGTGGTAAGTTAATGGGGTGTAGAAGTACTGGAAATTTTCTAAAGTTTTTATTTTGCACACAGGTTGATGTAATCGAAGGTGTTTGTCCGCAAACACGCTTATGCTTAGAACAAGTTTACAAAGAGCAACTGAAGCCTGTTTTGGTACTAAATAAAATTGACCGTCTCATAATGGAAAGGAAGCTTAAGCCGTTAGATGCCTATTATCACATACGCCAAGTTTTAGAGGGTGTAAATGCTGTACTCGGCAGTATATTTGCTTCGGATGTGCTAGCAAAGGAAGATATCACTAAGAAGGTGTGCGAAGTGAAACATTTTGTACCGTTTCTTTTTTTAATTAATTGTTTATATTTAAATATATTTTCATAGGACGACTATGAGTCAGCGTTGGAAGATTCAGACGATTCAAAATTATACTTCTCTCCAACTGAGGGAAATGTTATTTTTTGCTCTGCCTATGACGGCTGGGCTTTCTCAGTGAGTGACTTTGCCAGAATCTTTGCAGACCGTTTAGAAATGTCGCAAATAGACTTGGAACAAGTACTTTGGGGCGACTTTTATTACAATGTCAAAAAGAAAAGTGCCTTCCCTGGTGCGCAGGAAAAGGCAAAGAAACCGATATTCGTACAGTGCATACTGGATAATATATGGGGTATCTACGATGTTGTAGCAATCCGTAAGGATATGGTAAAACTTCAAAGCGTCGCCGACACATTAGGCATTAGACTGCAACCGCGTGATTTGCGTAACACCGACCACAGAGCTCAAATAAAAGCTGTGCTCGGTCACTGGCTGCCCATCGATCGAACCGTCTTGGAGATGGTGGTGCGTCATGTACCCGCGCCAAATGTTATTTCCAATGAGCGCGCCGAAAGGCTACTCTTTCAACAAAATGCCAAGTTAGACAGTTATCCAGCTGAGACATTATTGTTAAAAGAAGAGTTCAAAAGATGTGACAGCAAAAGTGAAAACATCATTGTATTTGTTTCCAAGGTATGTTTCTGCTTATAGCTTTTTTACAAATTGACTTCATTTTTCATATCGTTATCTTCAGATGGCACCTGTGCATGTCTCACAACTGCCGCAAAATAAGGAGAAGCACCTCACTGAAGAGGAACTGAGAGCACGACGAGAAGAAGTGCGCCGGCGCATTGAAGCGCGTAAACAAGCGGCAGAAAATGCGAATTTAGAAAATCTTACGGCTGGCGTACAACAATTGAATGTTGCAGAAACGTCCGTTGTGCCTTCAAGTAGCAGTGAATGTCAAGAAGAGTCCAGACAAGAAGAACCAGAAAAGCCTGATCACGTTTTTGTTGCATTTGCCCGCATCTTCAGTGGTACTCTGCGACCGGGCATGCGCTTGTACAACTTAGCACCTAAACATGACCCTCGAAATAAAGAGTATGCACTTATCACACACATACACTTAACCTTTTTTATTAAAAGTTAATTACAAATATTTTAGTCAGTTAAATTTGGACTCGCCTTACATAAGCGAGGTGACGATCGGTGATCTGTACATGTTTATGGGCGGCGAATTGCAATCGCTGGACGAAGTGCCAGCTGGTAACATTGTGGGCATTGGCGGCCTGGATCAGGATATCATCAAGACAGCAACATTGAGTAGCACCATGAACTGCACATCGTTTAGCGAACTCAACCTGATGGCTACGCCTGTGTTGCGTGTGGCTATTGAGCCAGTGAATCCGCAAGACTTACCCAAACTTGTGAAGGGTCTTAAATTGTTGAATCAGGTAAGGGATCCTATTTGAAAAAAAAAAAATAATAATTTATTATAAACTTTGCTACAAAATATGCAGGCTGATGCATGTGTGCAAGTATCGATGGCGCCCACCGGTGAGCATGTTATCACCACTCTGGGCGAAGTGCATGTGGAGAAGTGTGTGCGCGACCTGGAAGAGAGCTATGCCAAGATAAAAATCAATGTTTCTGAACCTATAGTGTCTTTCCGTGAGACCATAGTACCTGAAGCTACAATGGATATGGTCAATATGGCTATAGTAAAGACGGCCAGCGATAAAGACATAACTAAAAAGATTATCACCCAGCAAACAGCCAACAAGTTGGGCACACTACGCATTATAGCGTTGCCGCTTCCAGAATCTACTACTACCGTGCTAGAAACATACCACAGCTTCATTAAAGAGTTGACAGCAAATAGCAAAAGCGTTGCAGTGTCTGAAAAATACGTCGCGTTTATAGCTCAGCTAAAAGGGCAAATTTGTAACAGTTTGTGTGAGTTAGAACTTAAGGGTCTGTCAGAGCTAATGCCGAACAAGTTGGTGGATCGTATCTGGGCACTCGGTCCGCACAATTGCGGTACTAATATACTGTTCAATTTGAGCGACTATGAGCAACCGAATTTTTGGCAGTCGCTGACAAACCAAACGGATAGTGATGCCGTTACTAAAGTGACGAGCGACGTGCGCAGAGATTATAATAGCTCATTTGTCAATGGCTTTCAGTTGGCGACCGCTGCTGGGCCACTTTGCGAGGAGCCGATGCAAGGCGTTGCTTTTGTGGTGCTCGAGTGGTCGGTCCAGGAGGGAGACGATTTGAATTCCAAGTCTTTTGGTCCATTTTCTGGTAAGCCAAGCGGTATTTGTTGTTGGTACGTCTATATAAACCTATATGCGTTTATTCTCCAAGGGCAAGTGTTGACTGCAGTGAAGGAATCTTGTCGCATGGCGTTTCAGGCGCAACCGCAACGTTTAGTTAGCCCTATGTTCAGTTCTACAATTGTGGTGAATGCAGAAGTTTTAGGTGAGTCAAAGTTTACATTTTCTTTGTTTTATTGCCTTAATTATTTGTGGTTAAGCGCTTAATTAAAAGGGAATTAGTGTTATTATGCAAAAAGTTTGTTTGAAGTACACTACAATTACTGTAAATATGACGAAAATTATCTTCAATAAATCCATATCGTCCATGTTCACGAATTGGACAATGTGGTACAGACGGTATCTATGACCTTAAAATTCCCATGTCAATAATTCTATGATTTATGATGCGTAAGACGCGGTAGCTTGTTCTACTGCAATAACTGCCAAAGTACAGAGTCGTAACAAAATCCTCAAGTCTCTAGCCAAACACAAAGAAACCTTGTTTGTAAATTTCTAGGCAACCGGGTCATAAAATACGCCGCACCCATATGCTCGCCTGGACGTAGTGAAACGCCGACAAAGAAGCTTCCGACATGTCAAAACATTGCACTCCGGCTTATCACTGGATGCCTCTTGATGACTCCCTCTCAATCAATGTCGCGCTTGCTTTCAAACCACCATCCATTGCAAACGAAGAGCTCGAGCTGCTATGGAAATCTACAGTGACCCCTGCGCAACTACGTTATGGATACTCTAGCCAGTTAAACCTCCCCATACCTCTTTGTATGTCCCACTCATTTAACACTTTTCACCCTATGGTCTGACCCCGTCAAATGACGTTTCCTTAGCCTACCATTAGAAGTTTTCGATGACAACCAACACGATCCTTACCGCTACAATAACAATAATATTATCTTTGAACAATTTTTCATATCACAATCCCCCGTGGTCATAAACACTATCTCAGCTCCAGCTTTGGAAAGACCAGAGATAAATATTAGTCTGTCCATGGGTTCATTCTCTCATTAATCCCTTCCACCTTTAGTAAGCTACCTTGCCGTAGATCTAGACAAACTCGAAAGTTATCTTCATCCTCTAGTCGGTTAAAGTCCCGAAGATCATAGGGCAATGAATTGTGTGATAACGCCATACTTTTCTGTATCCAAAATTTTGTTCGTAACTCCTAGTTTCACTTTGTGTTGTAGTAAACTTTTTACTGTTATAGAACGTACTTGCCCTTCAGCTTTCCTCCTAAGCTTTAACCCATCTGAATGCTAAAATTTTATCGTTTATCACAACTAAGTATTACCTTTCCTCACTTTGAAACACCTTTGCTGGCTCAAAATCTTGCGTTTACTCGTTATTTGATCAATAAAAGACCGTCAGTTTTATTTTAAGTAAAAAATAATTTATTACAAAGTACAAGCGGATCGTACAAAATGCAATCGGTTGCGTTTCTGTCATCTCTAAAATTAGTTACTAATAAATGCGGCTTAAATGTAATGTATAAAATAAATAATATTTGCATAATATAAATACTAAATCGTGTTATGCTTAAGAATTTCGATTTTCGAATTCGCAAACGTTAGAAACCGTTACGTTTTTTCTTCTCTTTCTCATAAGTTTTATGAATAAAATAGCTGTTTCCTTGGCGTTGCGCACAAATAAAACAAATTCATCGAAGCACTTCAAAAACAAGCGCGAAATGCTTCAATCAATTTGTAATGTGTATGTAGTTAATATCATTAAGTAAATATAAAAATAAGATAAAGTAAAATGCTAAAATATATTCGCGCTAAAAGTAATTTAGTATATCGATAAACGTTTATCGATTGTGGAACTTAATTGATACGATAAATTTACTTTTAGTTGCCTTCTAAAATAATAATTTCTTAGTACAATGTTGCCTTCTCAGTGTCGCTGAAAGGAATTCAAATATTTCTAGGTTAGATACGAAAATTTTTGTTTCGAAAAATCATTTGGGGAATTATATGGTTTTTGAGTTGTAATGTGTTACACTTTTTACTGATTTGCCAACAAGTTCCTCTTTTTAAGCTAAAAAATAGTTATTTGCTTAAAAATTTAAGGCTTTGCTGAGCAAACAGAAATTTTCCATGAATTTCTAATATCTGTTGGTATATACCATATGCTCATTACTCTATATATTGCCGTATACTATTGTTGTATTTATTATTGTTGTATTTATTATTGCTGTTATTATTATTATTTTTTTATTTATAATTTTTAATTTTTTTTAATTATAATTTTTATATTAAAATTTAAAAATTTGTTTTTTGTTTTTAATTTTTAATATAATTTTTTTTTAATATTCTTATCGCTCATTCAGTCACAGTAATCGTTTGATTAAGTAATTCTTCTATAAACTCGCCTCTTTCACTTTAAGGTTTTGTCTCACAAAACCTGAACGCCGCTTAGAACTGCCGGCTCTTACACTTTTACAGTTTTACTTTTATTTAACTCCTTCGTATTTATATAAAATGCGATTTTATCAATTAAAATTTTGTTTTTGTTTTTACTCCTGCTGCTACCACTGCACTAGTGATCGCTCTCGATCACTGCTAAACTAAAATTAAAAAAGAATTACTCATACGCCACGTCCTCACCGTTCACCTCAATCCCAAATGATCGTCTGCTGAAACTCCATAACACGATCCCACGGGAACTCGGGTGTGTCATCGTCCCAATCGTTGGCCGCTATATCGTTCACCGAACGCCTGGCGCGCAACTGTGCCAACTCTTCGTTTTGCTGCTGCTGCGACGTGGCCGCCGCCAAATCAAGGCTCGACGTTGTCTCCTCGATGCCACCGCCGCCGGCTGCAGCAGCTGCCGTGTCTGCCGACTGTTGTGTGCTGGTATTCAGCGACTTGTCCTCATCTTTGGCCGCTTCGATTGGTGTCTCGCCTTTGCGTTCGTTGTTGCGTCCATAGATGCCCGTTTGGAAGTTGTTAATCGAAGTGAGTGTATCCGGTCGATAGTTGCCGACATTAATGGCCGATTGATGTGGGTTAATGTTGCTGATGCCGCTGCTACTGTCCGGCCGGTTTAAGTATTGATAGCCGCCGGCCTGGCCGTGTTGGCTTGCAAAGCTATTTTCCGGATGGTAATTGCTGCTGCTGCTCGCGGCCTGCGCTGCGGCGGCATACGACGATGAGCTCGGTCGACCATAGGTGTCTTTAGCGCCATACTGTGGTACGTTGATGTAAGCGCTGCTGCTTTGCGTGCTGGGACGGTAGAATGGCTTTTGTAGCTGATAGCGCTTGGGTGGCTGTGCGGATGGCTTGCGTACCGAGTAGCCGGGCTTGACGCACATCATGCCGAAGACACGTATGCCGGGCACACTGGCGTACTTGGGTTGATCGTGAGCCATGGGACCCTCTGCGCGTTCGGGGTGTAATGAAATGTATATTAGTTTAATTAAATCGTAATTGTCCACAATTATTTCGCAATTTTGCAGCATTAAACATTTTAATGTCGATTGCTTTGCAAAATTGCTTATTAATTGTGCATAATTCTGAATTTTTCTGCATTTCTGCCTTGTATTCACTTACCCATTTTGAAGTGGTCGGGACACCTGCAGATGATTAGATAGTGCGACTTGCCGGTGCGTATATTCTGCAGTGCCAATAGAGACCAGTCCTTCGGTGAGCTGCACTCACGCATCTCGGTGGTGGCCTCGCATGTCTTCGCCAAAGTGATTGCCTGCTTGATAAAGGAGAGAGCGAAGAAGGGAAGTACACGTACTTTTTAGATTGCATCAAATGTTAAGGAAATGTAGAAATTAGAAGATTCTGTGGAAAAATGTGCTGCGTGTGGTCTAAAAGTGTTCACTGAAACATCTGTTAATTTTCAGTGAGTGTAGGTCTACAGTAAAAACTTCTGCCACGTCGTGACCTTTGTTTCAAGCAGTTGAAAATAAATTAGAATATTTTCTTCCCTAACCTTAGCAGTTGTCCAATTGTAGTTGTGTGCATTTTATTCGGAAATTTTTTGATAAAACTGTGAAGTATTTTATTTTCTCTAAAAATTTTCTCTTCTCGACGATTCCTCATGTTATTCTCATTTCCTCATTTCTCCATTACTTTATTCTTGGGTTCTTTATAGCTTCATCGCTAAGTACATATGTACCCTATCTGATCTCCCCACGCCATCTATCTTTTAAGAGACCCTTTCCGCTATGCGACTATTTATAGCTGATTTTGTGAGACCCACAAGGTTGTATAAATCGCTTGTTCCTCTTTTTATCCGGGCCGACCTCGGTAAATGCTTAGACACTGTCAGGAATCCCTATTTTAGAATTGAATAGTCGGACTTTGATTAAGAACGTTATCAGTTACGTCTGCGGCTCAGATATTCGCCAATCTTAGTTGACTTTTATGAACCGAATAATTTTCTTCCATTGGTTTCAAGGTTATAAACTTCTTAACCAAATTTTCGAAGCATTTTCCATCTTATCTCCATAACCCTGAACTCTCCCAGATAACCTCTGAAACCTTCCATATGTTGGCGAAATATCATCCGAAACCTTCCATAGTTTCTTTGTTATGCCACCAAGTCCAAGCTCGCCATATTTTTAGCTGCTGGCAATAAAATATGAGCTCTCACCCCTCTTGGCGAATCTCGCGTTGCGCCAGTGAAGTTCTGTGGCGCAATGCCTGAAAAACAGGCGCCTTGCCGCGGCAGCACAGCATTAAAACCTCATTTAATGACAAATAAAACCGCTAATCACGATTTTTCCACACACGCCGCCGTGCGGACGCGAAGAAATTGCCAGCGAGCAAGCGAACGCCGCAACTAAAGTGCATGTTAAAAGGCGAAACACCAGCCACAACAACAACAAACAAAGCACAACAAATATCTACACATGCACGGCTATCCAGCGAAACAGCGCCAACAACAATAACCACGCCAACGACAAGAGCAGCAGCAATTACTAAAGTGCAGCAGGGCGAAATGGAGAAAAAAGAAAACACTGCAAAACAGCATTGCTACAGTTCGCCCGGCAGCACAGGCCAGATCGGCTTGCCTGCCGGCGCTTCGCCACTGCAACAACAGCAACAGCTCAACTGGTTGCGGAATAAGTCAATGGGCCCACAGCAACGCCGTGGCTTGCCTTTGCAGTGAAATAGCGAAACAGGCCAACGATGTGCCTCGACCGCGCTGCCGCAAGCCTCTCTGCCACTGTTTTTATTTCCGACTTTGTCGTTGTTTTGTTTTTTTTTTGTTTTTTTGCACTTTTTTCTAATTTTCTTGTGGCATCTGTTTTTGCATGTTTTCTGCTGCCTGCTGGCATTTATGTATGCATATGACTGTGCTTGCCGGGGTTGCTGTTGTTTGGTTGTTGTGCTGCCGTTGGGTTGTCGTGGCTCCAGCCACTTTCCAGCTACCATCAAATTGTCGTCTAATTTACGCCAAAGCTGTGAGGCTTTTCTGTCTCACGCGATGCCATGCGATGTTGTTAGAATGGTTGACAACAACAACCGCCGCACTATCAACAACAATAATAGCAACGAGAGTGGCATCAGCATCAGCATGCTCGGTAGCATTGACAGCAGCGACGTTGCGCGGACACCTGGTGATTTGGGGAGACACACAATAATTTGCTTTATTTATGCAATTAGTGCAGATTCTGTTTGTCTGCCGCTTTGTGTGTCCGTGTGTTCGCATATTTTATTGCGGTGTCCCATTACTAATGCATTAGTGCATTTAAATGATCGAAAATGAGATTCTGAACAAGGCTTATCATTACGCGGTTTATGAGTGATACAAATAATGTGTGAGGCGGCGGGTTGCTCTCCAATTCAAATTTCTTTTTCATCTCTTTTTGATTTCTGTTTGTGGCGGGGATGTCGAACCTTTCTATGGGTCCACTATGAGAGCGCCAATGGGATATAACAGGACTTCATGGTTGTCGAATGTGTCTCTATATTAAGTGTAAGTAAGTAAGTGTATTCTCATCAAAATTTTTGAATCAAAGGACACGTATTTAGGGGTAAAACTGTCAGTTTACCATTTTTGTTTTTCAACAACTTGAGGTCGGGAATGGAAAGTGTAAGAACGGAAATATAAATGTTCAAACTGTTTTTTGATCTCAGAATTCAAAGCAGTTCTTCGTATACATCTTCGTAACTACAGATTGGTCTGACTCTACAACCTTGCCTTTGAAAGTTATGCCTATTCTCAGAGAAAAGCTTTACTGAACAGAAATTAATATTTCCCCTAATTTGTCAAAAATAAATGTTAGGTGACGTTGGTTGTCCTATCTCTGATCAAGTTTCACCTAGTTTAACATGTGGTCAAAATTGAACCGGACTGACTACACTTTCTCGTGTTTTAATGGAAAACTATATTATGACCTGGCTCCAGAGCTATTACAAGCTTGCTAACGCTTAATCCAGTTTTCAATAAATTTCCTCTATAAGCCTCGACTGATCTTTACAGCCTTCAGGATACTTTGGTTTCCGCCCATTTGTACAGGGCTATTCGCTACATTGATTTGGACGTTATACTTATAAACCCACGTCTCTTTATCAGTTATGATGCGCTTAATGAATGGTGAATATAGGGCTTCAGCTACGAAATTTCAGAAAAAGCTGACAGACGGATCAGGTAAGATGAAATGCCTTAAGGACATGCACGATCGCAAATATCAACTGCAAATGAGTAGAAAGACATCACCCAAACTTTCAGCTTCCACGGTCTCAAAAAGACGGCAGGACGGTCACAGCTTACTGGCATCACATGACAGACGTATGGGCATTTTTAATGATGGCGTATGTAAAAAGTGCAGAGAAGTAGACATGAGAGAGGCTATCAGAGATACCAAGTATCTTTTAAACTTCACAAAAGCGTTTGTGCAGGGCATAAACTCCAGCTCGTATTAATAATCAATCTCCATCCTGCAATACAAATGACCTGTAGGTCTATGTATAGTGTGACAACCAGCCTGTGCAACCTAATCCAGGTCGGAATGGACCAGTCCTTGTCAAATTTTAATTAGATAGCAAATCCGACGAGTTTTTTTAAATACCGAAATCTATGAAAGCTGAAATTTGATATTTGATATTTGGACTTTCCTCCCGAAGAAAAAAAGTGGTTTAAATGCTTACGAAATAAAGACACTTAAATTGTATAGGCTTCCTAAAACTATATTATTTCCTTCCCAAGGAGCTGCGAGCAAACGGGCAGCTGTTCCGGTCACAAGCTCAGCGGCTGTGCGAGCAGTATATTGTGGAATATTAGTGCCAAGCGCAATAATTTGTTTTTCACACCTTTAATGGACTGCCAGATTTCCATTTCCTTGTCATCCCCACAGCAGCTCCTGTAATTTACATTGCCGTTGAGGCAACCAGATGCCACTCAAGACAAATTATTTTGCATTTAAGTGCGTTCAGTGCCGAAGTCTGCTCTGATGAATTATCGCACTAACACACACGCACGAACAACTGGAGTAGCAAGACAGAGAAGAATTGAGCCACATAAGTATATGCTTGGTTGCAGAATATCTCATTATAATCTCATAGACTTGCAGCCAGATTGTGCAACACATGTTGCGCGTTCAACTTGAGGCATATATGAAGCTGTTGCATGCAAAATACTTGCAATTATGCCTAATAAAGCAATTTAAGTCAGACGAAAATGCATTGCGGCGCTAAAATGTGCAGAATCGGTTTACAAGCCATCCTCGGGCTGCACTTATATAATCCGAGCGTGTGGGAGTTTTGCGTTCTACGGCAGCTGGTAATTGAATTAAATGCTCTTAGTGCTTATAATGGATCAAGCTGGTGTTTTAATGATGTGAAAAGCGGTTAGCGAAAATTATTGAAGAATTGCACGAAGAGACGACCTAAACGCTTTAGTTACCATAATAGCTGATGCTGGGCAAGCTACTGCAGTATAGTTAATGCATATCAGTTCATGTCAGCTGCAGCACTTAAGGCTGAGTTATAAATTCTTCTACATTTTTGTGGTCATTTTTAATGCGAAACATTCTGATATATTTTCTTATTCTACATTAATCGCTTTTAGACTATTCACGATTTAGTGTGAAGAGATCTGTGGTAAGCTGTAATGTTCAGACCGAGCTCATATCCATTGGCATTGAATTGTGCATAAAATTGCATAAGCTTATGGATGTATATATATAGTGTATCTTTACTCCTGTACTGTCGTAGACAAGCGATCCAGGTTCTCCGCTTCCCCCGACTGCATCGAAATAAGAGCTGAAGTGTTTTCGCCCATTTTGACGACACTACCTAGGCAGCGTAGCCGTTGTCTTTTAATTCGCTGAACTATTATATGTCAATGTCGTCGTATAATTCGTACAGCTCATCGTTCCACTCAATGCGATATTCTAATCCGCAAGCGACCATAATTCTTCGGCAGAACTTTTTTCTTGAAAACTCGTAAAGAAAATCTTTCAGTATTACTGCTTAGCATTTTCCTGCTTGGCTAGTTGGCCTAACTGCTTAATAATCAAAATAATTGAGAGTTTTGTATTTTTAGAACTTTTCTCATACTTTTCTTAATTTTACTGCGCTGTGTGCTCTCCTGACTAACTTAATCTCTAGTTAAGCCAGCAGAAGCACAGGTTAATCCTACGTCTAACTGCTTATTTAAAATAATTACACAACAACAATAAGGAATAATACCAAAAAAATGCACTCTAACTGCTTGTAGATTCATCGTTTAATTCCATTTCTCACCGTCTGTTATTTACGAGCATCGAAAGCCGCAAAATGCAAGCTTACACCTCGCGTTGCCTCGCCTACACTCCCACCCTTACCAACTTGTGCTGCCGTTCGCCGCGCTTTTAGTAATTCTAACAACTCCTTGTTAGCCTGTTACTTTTCCAATTTGCTGCTGCACTTCCGCACAACGCCAACACATTTAACCACACACACACACACACATACTTGTATAGAATTAACCATTAATGCAGCGAATTGCATGTGCCGCCACCTCTTCACCCCACCCACTTACCTTCTTCTTGCTGTCGCCCACCAATTTCGTTGTATGCTGATCGTCCTCATTCAGACTGGCCGAGCAGGGATCACGGTATCTGGTGGCCCAACATAGAAGTAATGAAACAAGAGAAACAATAAAAGAATTGAGAAAACACAATTAAATTGCAGAAGCAAACCAAAAAAAAAAAAAAAAAAGAAGCTCAAGCATTCACTTTATAAAATGAAATAATCAATTGTGAAATTATTTAACTCTATTCATGCAACAGGCAGCAGGCAGCATGGTTGTGGCGTGCACTTGGTGCTGGCATGTGGCATGTTGCAAGTGGCATGTTAGGCAGCGCAACCGGGCTTCCAGCTGCCAGCTTGCAGACTGTTGCATCCATTGCACTTTCAGTCATGCAGCGCCACGCCGCTTCGTTCCATCCGTTCCGCTCGCGTTCGCTCCACGTTTGGTCGCGTCCCGCTCAACGCTCCATACTCGCTTGGCTGTCAGCTTGTATATTTGATTGTCTGTTGGCTTGTCCGTTTAGCCTTCCAAAGCATTGCTTCATGTGTCTATTCAAGCCTCGGCTTGTTGTTGTCGATTGAAGCTTGCCTCAAACACACACGTTCGCATTCGCACTTACATGTATCCTTGCTAATTTAGGTTGTTTCGTTGTGGTACTCACCTTGATGGACAGGCGCATAATGGCTGTGTGTAATTCAGACGCACATAGACCGCATTGCAGACCTGCTGTATCGCGCACTCGGGCAGCAAGTAGATATGTTGATTGTGCGGATAGTAGTGATACTTAGTCGGCTTGGCGGTGGCCGATGGTTTCTGCAATGAAGCCACGAACAAAAACACAAAATGAAAATAAAGTAAAACACAATCAAATGGGAAAGAGATTAGTAATTTGTTTTACTACTTAAATGAGAAAACAAAACGGATGGCATGGCTGCGGCGGCATGAATGGCATGGAAGAAATGCGGCGATTGGCTTTGCCACTTTGCACCGCATTGCTTGCATATTTGCTTAACAAATTAATCTCCAATGGAACTCCTGCGAAATTGAGTGCTTAAATGTTTATTTTTTTCTTATCTACACCGTGTATATATGTATGTTTGTGTATAAAGTTTTAGAGTGTAATGATATTGGTCAAATACCAGCAAGTAATCAATTATAATATCTGAGAAATTTGCTGCTTTTAAAGAAATGTTAAGCTTGGGAGCAAATAATTTTTAAAAAGCGTAAATCGTAATAGGTAGACAGGTAGCATAGTATAAAAGATATCAAGCGTTTGGCCACTGTCTTAAAGGTATTTTGTTGCTATATGAGTTATATGTAAGTGTGCAAAGGTAGTAGCACCCGATCTTCATTCAATTGCGGTCACTGACTGTCATCAAGAACTAAATATACACATACAGTTGCGAGCATTGAAATAGTAGTGGCTATTGACAAAAATAGTTTCGCTTTAAATTTTGTTTCTTTTATGGTATTGAAGTTGATTATTATTCTAGTTATATTCTCTGTAGTGTAACGGTCCTGTTATACACAACAATAAGTGCGAAACACTTACCATTACTTTTTTACAGCTAATTATATTGTGATTTCCGTCTTTATGAGCGAGCATTAAAATAGTAGTGAACGGTGAGCTGATTGGACATAGATTATTTTTACTAAAAAATATTTAATTTTATCAATCAAAAAGTAAGTTTCTTGTTATTTCATTAATTATCCAATGAAAAAGCTAAAAAAATATGACTGTGCATATTTTAGTGGGTCGCGGGAAGCACTGCAGTGAAGAGAAACAAAAATGGATTCAATCTCTCATAAACAACGGTAAATCCTATAAGGGAGTGGAAAGAATTGTAGGGTGTTAAGCCACAACGACTCACAATGCAATTATTTATAAAAAAAAAAAGACGAAAAAAGGGGCGCAATATGGATTCTTTCCGTGAATTTTACACCAATAGTTGTAAGATGTGCCAAGACTCGACCTAGAATGTCAGCTATAGAGATTCGGAATGAACTGAACCTGACCTGCGGTGTTCATACAGTGAGAAGACTTCTACATGAACATAATTTATATGTCGATAAGTACCGTTATTAAAAAAAATCATATAGCAAGTCGTCTTAAATTTGCCAAAGGACCGATTGAGAATTTTCCGATTGAGAAATGGCGCAACATCTTTTAGACAGACGTGTCGAAATTTATTCTATATGGCGGTAAAGGGTCCCGTCACTATCTAAGACGCTCCCCTAATAGAGAGTGCTACCCCAGATTCAGCACAAAAACTATGAAGCTTGGCGGTTTGATTTTCATGGTTTGGGGTGTTTTTCTTACAGGCCCAATTTTTTTGTGTAGTCCCAATTCACAAGATTACTAGCATAACGGACCGACACAAATTCGTGGATATAATGCAGTATATTATGATACCATTTGCTGAAGAGAACATCCCGCTGAAAGGGATATTTCTGCAGAATAATGACCCGAAGCACACCAGTAGGGTGGCAAAGGAGTGGTTTCGGGTCAATGGAATTGATGTCATGGATAGATCAGCTCAATCGCCTGGCCTCTATCCTATTGAAAACCTTTGGACAGACGTTAAGAAAGCCGTATGGAATGACAAACCCAAAAACAACAATGAGTTGTGGACCGTAGTGCAGCAAGCATGGCAGAACATACCACTAAAAAGATGCCAGAGTCTCGTAGATTCTATGAAGAGGCGTTGTATTGCTGTTATTAAAAATCATGGCCATGCTACCAAGTACTAATATCTCGCATAGACGGAACTTCCAAAAATCTTCAGTTTTAAGAAAAAAAAATTATATTACTTTACTACTCTTTTACTGCTCTCATCAAATTTCATATATAAACACAACTTTGTGAATAAATATATCTTACACCCATTCAAATTAAAATATTTTTATTAGTAAACGAAGCCAGGGAAATATGATAAACTTTTCCGTTTCAATTGATGTTAAAATTGTTTAGAATTTTGCATAACTCACAGGTATGTAAAACTCTAAACCCCACTACTATTTCACTGCTCGCAGCTGTATATAGGGTAGCCGAAAAAGTCTTTTCGTATTTCTATTCAAACTTCAACTTATTTTTTATATTTATAATGAACTTTAATAAACCAAATATGTACCATTTTGGTCGACCACTGTTTGCCATTTTTCTGCTAGGCACATTATTCCATCAGTATAAAACTTTTCTGGTTTCCCGGCGAAAAGCTGCGACATGTAGTGTCACCAGCTTCTCTTGAAGTCAACTTTACTCCATTAAGGTTGTTATGCATTGACCAACACAAATAGTAGTCCGATGATGCAATGCCAGGTCTATATGGCGGATGCATCTAAACTTCCCAGCCAAGCTCTCCCAGTTTTTGCCGAGTCATCAAAAATGTCTGTGGTCTAGCGTTGTCCTGATGGAAGACGAAGCCATTTCTCTTGATCAGTTCTGGTCGTGTTTTTGCGATTGTTTGCTTGAATCTCGTCAGTTATAGACAGTAAAATGTAGAGTCAATCGTGAGACCCGGCTGGCGCAGTTCATAATGGATGACACCTTTGCAATCCCACCAAACACTCAGCATATCCTTTCGAGCCGTCAATCCTGGCTTTGCGACCATTTGTTGAGCTTCACCACGATTGGATCATGAGCTTCTTTGTATATTATAGTCGTATTTCATCCACTTTTCATCTTCTGTTACCATTCGCTTCAGAGATGGTTTGATTTCATTTCGTTTCAGGAAAGAATCGCAGATGTTAATTCGGTCCGTTGAATTTTTCACAGACAATTCATGTGGTACCCAAACATCTAGCTTCTTTTTGTAACCAGCTTTTTTCAAATGGTTCAAAATCGTCTGATGATGAGTATTCAAGTTCATTAGCGATGTCATGGCTGCTTATATGACAGTCCTTGTCAATCTTTTCCATAATTTCACCGATTTTTTCAACGATAGGTCGACCAGAGCAAGGTGGATCTTTCACATCGAAATTTCCAGAACGGAAGCTAGCGAGCCATTGTTGCGCTATACGAACTGATACAGCATCGTCTGCGCAAACTTCACAAATTTCATTGGAGGCTTCCATTTTTTAAACAAAAGTTTCAAAATATAGCGAATTTCTGCATTATTTTCACTCATGCTGTGAACAGCTGTAACGTTTTCTCAATTTCCCCGAATTTATTTGTTTTTTGAATGAAGTTTAAAATCTCACCTTTTCAATACTATATGGTATGACACAATGTGATTGGTAGCACCGCAACGACATCTATTGATAAAATACGAAAAGACTTTATCGACCACCAATATTTAAACGAATCGATGGAGTAGTTTTTTTTTTTTAATTCCTAAAAATCGTGTTTGTTAGGCTGTCATGCTAGGTGTGCCCCTGAATGACGTTTATTATCACAAAAATTAAAAAAACTAAGTACAAAATCATAAAATTAAGTTATACAATTTATTGTTTTAGTGCAGGGAACAATAATTAGAAGGGTAAACACCAATTTCGTCATATAAAAAAATACACTTTCTTTTTTACAACATAAAAACTTTTTTTCGGAATTCGCTGCATTGATAGTTTACATGCAAAAATTCAATTACGCGAGTGAGTGCACCACAACAATCACGCTGTGTACAAATAAATTTTACTATATAAATAGGAGGTGCAACGTTGCCACAGAATGAATATTTTCCGACATCAAACCGGGCGGGAGAGTGGTGTGGTGAGTGCCACAATGGGGCATAATCGAATGTACATATGATTAAAAAATTGTTATGCTGCACTTTGCAATAATACATATGTGTTTGTGTGTGTGCAAACATGCAATTTCACGTGATCATCTGCGTGCGCAATCAACGCTCAACTCTTGCGTTGCTATCTTTTGTGCTGACATGAATAGAGGAGTGTTTGTATGTATGTGTGCTTGCTCAGCAGCAAACAGGCAGCGAGCCACACTTGCATAAACACTTGCATATAATCACATGAGTGCATTTCGCCTTGCAACTTGCCAGTTGAATGTCGGCGGCTATGTGTGTGTGTGTGTGTCCGCGTGCAAAACGTGAAATTTAGACGTGTGTGAAGGTCTTGATTTTGATTAACCTCATTTTTATGCAACATGAGGCAGGCACTTAGGAAAAAAAAATACACCACAGAACAACAATAGCAACAAATAATTGAATTATGCGCCCAACACGCGCTCGCGCACATGCCACACTGATAACAACTGTCGGATGTGGCAGATAGACAGGCGGACGGACAAGCAAATAAATGCGCGCGTGCGTGCGTGCGTCCTATAGATAGATTGAAGATGGACAGGCTAAAGCGCTATCAGATAGTTATATATTTCCTTGTATGTAGCAATACTAAATAACCGACGGCTTCAAGTCCTAGACAAGTTCGTGTTGCAATGTAATCTGGCTACTTTCAAAGCGTTCTTTGATATGAAGTACTTGTGCAACACGCCAAGGAAAAATACATATGCTCATATGAAAATATTTGTATGTAATAACGGCACCAGTTTTCTACGGTTGTGTACTGACCTGCTTACAAATAAATATTGATTGCTTTTTGCCTCCTGTTTTGTTATCTCATAAATCACTTTGACAGCTTCTTACATAGTTCTTGTACTATACCACATTACATCCGTTCTGCACTAGTTACGAATTGGTGCAAATGGAAGTGGTACGCAACTAGTGTTTTTGATTATAAAATCGTAACATTTACCACGGCGACTAAGAGTAGAAGTAAAAGTATAGGCTTGCTAATATTTATGAATTGTTATGTTCGTGCCACATGTGTGGCAGCTGGCTTCACTCACTTCAGTAAGG